ACGATGATGTCAATATTATTTATCGTCAAGATGAAGGTGGCTTGTGGACTTACATAGTACGGGCAAAAGTGGGATTTACATTGAAAAAAAAAGATTCGCAATTGTATATTACACCTTTTGTTATCGCATATCTTGCTAGTGATGGAGCTTATGAGAGGCAATTGGATGTGGAATTTCAGGTACATAATGTTATTTTCCATCCAGCTGATAATGCAGAAGTCATCGATCCAGAAGTTTAAAATAACTTACTACGGTGCATATTGATTATAAATGATATTTGTAACTGTGGTGGATAAATTTGAAATAAAGAAATATGATATTGTGAATTACTCTTGAAATTTGGGTTCTTGAATTGAACTGATTTATTGTGATATTTTATCTAATAAAGCAGTCCTTAAACAAATTTATGACTCATTTTCAATATTAATAACATACAAAAATTGGCACGTGTTTCATTTTTCACCCAACTTTTGGATGCAATATACATACCTCGAAATAATGTACTACAATCATTTGAAGTTCGTTTTATGCGATTTAAACATCACCTCGTTTTTGTTACTGCAGTTGTCTCCAGTTAAATTTAATAATGTTAGTTTTTTGGGCATATTTCTGGATTACCACGACTTGCAAGGGTAAAACTTTCCAGAAGGTATGCTCAATTTATTTCTGCAACAAATGATACATTCAATCAGTAAAAATGCTTGATTGTAAAATAATTATTATCTGTGTATAAGAAAAGCTGGAATTTTTCCCTGAAGAAAAAGAAAGAAGATCATCATTAAAAGCAAAGATAATTTTTTTTCTCATGACTTAGTTTATCAATAGTTAAGATTTGAACAAGACTCTTAAATGTCTTTATTTTAAATGAAAAATTATCCGATGTTTTTATGTGCAAATTTAAATGAAAAACCTAGTTGAAAGCAAAGTGAAAAGTGTGTATTTCTTGCTTTGCTCGTCATATCGACAGTAGAGAGGGTGAATCTCTGTCTAAGTAACTGCTGGCTCTGCTACACTTTCTAATGCGTCTGTATCAACGGGTAAAACGCCTAAAAAGCGAATGTTATGCCATATTTCTTTTTCGTATTAAATCCATGTAGAAAAACTATTACCAAATAACTCATAAAACTCGAATTTCTTTTTTTTTTATCTGTAAAAATTGATCTTTGACTATAGGCATTTTTTTAGTTCATTACGAAAGGACAAAAAAAAGAATGAAAGGATGAAGGAGTGATTAACTACAACTCCTAAGTTTTTTTAATTTTCTTATGTTTGAAAGCATAACATGTAAAGGTAACTAAAATACTGTAATTTTCATCAAAACACTAATACTTCAAGAAGTACCGTGTCAATAAAAAAAGTGTTTTCATCAAATTAATAATTATTTGAAGTTCAAAGAAAAATAATACAAAATGCTTGTCTTATGCACTTTGGAAAAAGAACACTTGATCTAATAAAGTACTTACAATAATTGTAATACATCTTTATCCAAAATACCGTTTATTGTAAATAGTAGGAATAGATTTATCACCTGGAAAAAATTCGTAACTTTTTCAGCTTTAATTATTGGTTGGATACTTCGAGGTTCAGAGTAAAATACTTAAAAAGAGTGTTAAATTATAACAAAGACAGATGACTGAAAGTACATGGTACGTTCTCTCTCTATACTTAATCGTGAATTAGGTTAAGATAGTTCACTCAAAAGATTGATTTTCATCTAGACTTGTTTTTTTTTAGTACGTTATAATTAAGAATTTAACGGATATTGTAATATTTTTCAAGATATTCAAGTTCAAAGTTGACACTTTCTACACACGAGTATACGGGAAACACACTTAAGAACTGATATTTCATCTAACTATATAAAAAGTATTTCTTCTAGAAATTTAAAAAACTAGTATGTAACAGTTTAGAAAACAAAAATTAAGATATCATTTTGTTAAATACAGCAATCAGTACTAGATTTAGAGATATTTCAATCTGAATCACGTACTTTTTTGCTTCGTTATATGAGCCACGCGAGGGAGAGGCTACAGTTGCTATAGAGCGTTATGCTGACAGATGCGTACCTTAGAACTCTGATTTTGTCATCCTGCGCAACAAGTAGACAAAAAAAGAGCACAGAGGTTATCAACTAATTCTTGTACGGGTACAAGACAGCATGATCTTTATGCCATTTCGTTAAGTGGAGTACCACTGGGCCGAGTGAACTACCTTAATTACTGTTTAACAAATCATAAGCACACACCTGTGCATAGCAGGTGACAAGACGAAGTCAGCTTCTATCTCTGCCGAATAAGTGTAAGGCTTCCCCATTTTACGTTTGACCACTGCAGTGAGGTACAAAGGCTCTACTTCAATAAGCGCTTTATCTACTAGTCGTGTATTCTTCAGACATTCCTTGCATTGATTTACTTTTAAAAATAATTGAGCTAAAGTCCACATTTTTTTAGCCTCTATTATTTACTTTAATTGCAACTAGTCGAACATACCCACAGTTAATGATGTCAAACACTCGAGGTCGGAAGGATCCGCCGACTTTTTTTCAGTGGTCAAAGCTACTGTGTTTTCTTATTGCACTTTTAGGTATGTATACATAAAAACACACAATTTCAATTAATAACTAACGCTTTAGTTGTATAAACAGCACAATGTGAAAACATAAATTAAAATTTTTCATAGTAACTGTAAAAAAAAGGGTATCTACCAGTGCATCATCTGACTTTTTAGTCTCATTTTATGATTTATTCTTCTCGCACCATTGTTTTAGAGATAGATTAATTAAACTAATTGACGAGGTAGTGCTGAAAAAAAAGAGTGCTTGGAGTCCCCGAGTGCCACGGTTCTCTGTTTTATTTGGCCTATTTATAAATTCAAAAAAATTACACTAAAAACAATAATACGTATGCTCAACGGTCAAAGTTCCAAAGGTTGTTTCCACTCATAAATTAATAATGAGAACGATAAACCGAAAACAAATAAATAAGCATTAATGTACACGTAAAGAAGCTCTAGCGAGTATTGCCAAATCAAGTTGTAGGTAAAGCTATGCGCAGGACCCCTTTTAAACAAAAGCTTATAGTACATATTCAAAAACCTTACAGATCTTGTATGTTTTTCTTACAATACTCTTTAAGAACATACGTACAAAATTATATAACTAAGTATATCGTATAAAAAGTTTACGCTACCCTCTGAAGATACCTTAAATGTTTGAGCAGTCATATACTTTAATTAATTAGAAAGTGGCTTTTTAAAAATTTTTTATTGGCCCGTATTTAAACAGAGCTAAAATTATAACGAAAGGGATACGTGGTTAATGGAAAACCTAACTTCTCCATTTACTTTTAAATCCGAATTAAGTTTAATTCAATACAATCTTATTAGTACCTATGTAGACTTTTTTCAAATTTGTAATGATTAGAAAAATCTTTTGTAATGCTGTAAAAAAAAAAACCTTTTTAAAAGTTAGTAATTTAGAAGAACCACTATTTGATTAAATATTGTAATCAAGTACATTCTTCCCTACAAAATTAATTATAAAATCATGCTGTAGTTGCTCATACTCAAGCAGTTATCGACAAAGGATTGTCATTTGATTTACAGCTCATCTTTATTAGATTAGCTAACCAACGGTACGTACAAAGAGTTGTTTTTTAATCCTTCTAAATAAATTCAAGGACATCAATAATAAGCGTATTTCAAAAATTATGTAAAAAAATTTAGGAGATCATGAATTTTATAAATTAGTCTCAGTAATGTTTATCTTGAATGTTATTTATTTTGGATTATACGTTTTTACATGTAACAAAAATTACAATTTTACGACTGTATTACTAGGGCCTTAGAAGAGTCAAGTGTTAAATTGATATCGTCTTGTTTATTAATGCTTATTATTATTATTTCCTATCAATAAAACTATGTAAGTGTTACTTGAGTTTTTTTTCTTCGAATTATGAGACAAAATAAAGACAATATAAAACAGAACAAGATAATTTTGAAGCAAGACTATCACTAAATTAATTTAAAAAATTTTGTAGAAACACACTAAACTATTATCTTTATTATTGGTTTGTTGTGCTGTTGTAAAGCCTAATCTACTAATTGTGCAGAATGTTATAAAACTTACGGATAAAAAAAATTATTATAGTGCCATGTAATAAAACTTATTCGAAAACTAGTAACTGGCCTGATGTACTCCTAAATTAAATATTTCAGTTGAAGATTTTACTTGGTTTAAAAATAATTATAAAATTGTGATGTAGTTGAGCACTCCTAAGTATTCATCAACATAAAAAAATTATAAAGTTTCATGATTATCTTGATGATGTTAACTGACTAACATAGTATGTCGATTGATAGTTTTTTTTTCAGTAGACTGTATTTATAAAATCACATGACGAAATTTGGATGATCAAAAATTTTTTTACGTTGTGCCAACAGTATACATCTTGTTAATAACTGTTATAATTAAAAAGTTTTTAAACCAATGAGAGAGTGCAAACATTTATTTTGAAGGTTTATGGTATACATGTATTGTTGTATAGTTTTTCCACTTTTTTTTAACAAGTACCCTTATTAGTAAAATTAAGGACCCTTTATTCAAGATTTAATCTCAGATACCTTAACTATTGTATATTTTTTGTTCTTAAGATTAGTCAAATGATGCACTTTGTTCTATTAATAAATCTATTTCACAATAAAAATACTTATTCTATTTAAAGTTAGAAATGTGTATCATTTATGAGCAATATTATTTTAAATAATCGAAGAAAGCATGTACACATTACTTGTACTCAAAAAAAAACTGTTATAGAGTATTTTTTATTTCATATTTCATCATTAATTCTTTAATATATTTCAATAGTTATTATACTAAAGAATAAGATTATGTTAGAATAGTTCTCAGTTTACTAACACACTTAAAGGTGTAGATTACATTGAACTTGTTACATTGAACTTATTAGGAGGTTGTGAATTTATTCCCAAACTTTGAATAGCCGATGACTAAGAAGTTACTCTTACTGTTCTTTAAAAAAATAAAACTCTCTGGTAAGGCCGTACCGCTAAAAGCTTAGTTTGCATAAAAATAATTAATCTTACTGTTTTAGGAGGCTCAGTGCTACAAACATACCTATTAGCCTCCTTCTCCCTTAATTTAGGACTGTTTATCTATTATAATTTCCATGTTTTAATAAATAGTATGCAAGTTTTCTCATAGAGGCAAATCGAGACAAGATTTCTTACTTTTTAATCATAGATATAAATTCAAAATTTTTAGGCTGCCATGGACTTAAGCCTCAACTGTATCCAAATGTAACTGAGTTAGAAATAAATGAAGGAGGAACCCTAAACATTACGTGCACAAGCAATAGCTTTGTTAATTTTTATTTCCCTACAAGTGATGAAAGGGGGAGGGTAAGTTAAATGATTCTACCATTTCATATTTGATGGGTTGTAGAAAAAAAATACTTCAACAAATAATAACCACTAATTTTTGCATTTAAAAAAAAAGACCACCTCTCAGCCTCTTATAACACCAGAAGTCAGGAGTACCCACAAGACATTTATAAGAATATCAACCGTTTTTGGAGATACTGGCTGGTATGGTTGTGCTGATGAAAGCAAACAAATAACAAGTTTGACGTACAAAAACTACAGCGACCTAAGTATCAGTTGGGTGTACGTTTATGTAAAATGTAAGAGTATTCCGCACTTTGGATTTATCTTTTTGCGAACTAAATTTTATTGAAAAACTTAAATAATACTAAATATAACGCTTGTTAAAAAATGGTTTATTTTCATGTGCAGCCAATAGAAGTTCATTCGTACATAAAAATAAGGATGATAATTATTATTTACTGGCTTCGGGATGTTCTAAACACCTTATCTTACCATGTCAAACGACATCCCCTGAATTTAAAGTGACTCTTCAAAGAAATGGACATGTAAAACATTCTTTACGCATGATTCAAACTTATATAGAAAACGACGCAAACTCTTTAATATTTTTAATTTTCTTAGGTTTTTGGACTAAGCGAAAAGATCACTTTTGACTCCAAAACTGGTTTTGTCATTAAAGAAGCAAATTGGGGTACGGATAGTGTATATACTTGTACTGTTGAAAATAAAAACTTTTCACATGCAATAAAAATAAAAGCTCAGAGTACTACCTCCTCTCCATGTATGAGTATCTTAAGAATAGACGGTGCAAAATCCGTCTCCGTAAATTCCAGACTAAGTATCAAATGTTCAGCTGAAGTTAGAAAAGAAGCCCTTTACACTATTTCGTGGAAGATTCCACACAACGTGGTAAATGTAACACAACTACAACTTAATATGCAGTTTTGTTTTATGTCCTAAAATATAAATAATTAGATATTTTTTAAATATGGTGCTAAACTAATAAAAAACATGTACTTATAAGACTTTCAGAAATATTATAAATACGTAGAAGAAAAAGGATTTTATAATTTAGTCAATCTTATAACGTCTGAGCTTATTATTAACAATGTTACTCACGATAATAGAGGTAACTACACTTGTAAAATAAGATCTTCGTTTGATGAAGAAGAGAGTCTTGATACTCACGTTTGCGTGTTTGGTGAGTGATTGATAAATTTTTTTTCGTTTATTAATATTGTTATCATTAGAATTATTATCTTTTCTTCACAGTACTACGTAAAAAATGAAACTCTGTAAATTTAATTTTGTAGACACTAACAAACCATACATCAACCTAACATCTGATAATCTGAATATACATTTGGATGATGGTAAATCAGTGACTTTTTTGGCTCTTGTTGATGCATGCCCAATACCAACTTTGAAGTGGTAATATATTCATTTTTACTGCTTTGGTATACGTGAATTTATTCATTTTTTTAGTATTAAAAAATCTTTTCCATTTCAGGACTCACCCGCTAGGTTATACCATTCATCCCTACTCGAGTAACGTAAGAATGTCCGATTATGGAACGATGAGCCGATTGACTATATTAAACATTGATCAATATGACACGGGATTTTTTACGCTTACAGCTAAACATGATAAAATAGTAAAGGAGTTGAAATTTTATCTTGAAGTTTATGGTACATAAATATGTTAGATTTTCGCGTGACATAAGTATTTTGAACGGACAAGATTAAAAATTAAAAAAGATTTGAGAGACCATTTTTTTAATAGTTTTATCATACAGTTTTAAGTACTTTTAGTTCAATATTATCAAAAATGAAAGTAGTCTGTAGGCAGTGTGAAATTGTTATTTAAACTCTATACTTGCGGAACCTAAATAATAATGATTTCGTAGTATTAGTTTTGAGTTTTCAGGGAGTTAATAATTTTTAATTTTACATTATATGCTCCGATAGCGAGGAAAAAAACGTCATCTTCCATAAAGATTTGACACTCTATGATTTTTTTAAAATTACACAATGGTATTTAAATACTGACCTCACTGATAAGAAACCATTTTTTTAATACTTTTACGATTTTTAAAAAATTGGCACTTCCTAATTGTAGATTAGTGGGCTTGATAGTAACTATGTTTGAAATTGTGTATTGAACTTATGTGTATACTTTTATGTCAATAAAAGTTGCAACCATCTACACTTAAAATTAGTATTCTACATTAGAAATATAATTTAAATCCAGACTAGCTTTTTTTGTTTCATTTACAGAAAGAGACAAAAAAGATTTATCAAGCCCATACGTCCAAAACTAAGTAGCCCATTTAACAAAAAAATAATCCAGAAGACATTCAAAAAAATAATGGACTGCAATTATACAATTTTTGAATTAACAAAGTGCCAAATAGAATAAATTTTGGATTTAGGCTTTAATATTGTAGATTTAATTAATATTAGTCGATATCTACTTGATTGGGCTCAAAATTTGTACTTTTAATCTACCAATTTAGATAAAATGGTTTTGTTTTTGTAACCATTATGACTATAAAACTCTCTGAAATTGAAAAATGACATTTAAAGTTTCTAACATCTTCCTGTCAAATGGCCGACTCTACTTTTAAATTGTAAAGCTCATACATAAAGCGCGTTTGTACTCAGTAAAGTTAANTTTTTTTTTATTATCTTGCAGTTCTAAATACTTATGCTGCTTTTTGTTATGGAACTCCATGTCAAGCATTCGATTTTTTTTTCTTGCAGGTAAGCCAACGGTCAGGTTTGACAAAACTTACCTCACATCTTACTACAGTTTTAATAAAACTGCCAAGTTTGTTTGCCTTGTCGATCGTCATCCTAAGTCGAATATATCCTGGACCAAAATTAACTATTGGACGAAAACGTTGACACTTGACCTTACAGAACATAACTTACAGGTATATAAGTTACTATAAAAAATAATTTGTTCATCTGCATTCGTACGTTTGGATTATTATATGAATGTAACTATAGAAATAACATTTTCTGAATATTGACTTATTTTTTTAGGGAATAGAAACAGATGTGCAAAATGGCAATTTCAAACAAAAGTCAACGGTAGAACTAAAACAGCTAGTAACATCTGGTGTAATAACATGCACGGCTTGCAATAGCTATGGCTGTGCCTCTACGTCAAAGGAAATTCGCATAGCAGGTACATAAATCTACATAATAGTGTTTAACTTTAATTTTTCAAAAATTCTTATTTTTGGTCGTAAGTTACTGTTGCGTGGATAATTTTTTTTTTCAGATAAAGTAAATAAACCATATTTTGGAATCGTACAACCAAATAGAAGTTTTCATAAAGGTGACAATATTTCTTTAATATGTGCTGTTGTAACTAATTATTTCTACGTCGTCGTATGGTATGATGATAACGGTCAGGTGGTAGATACTTCCGGTCAGTTTTAGTTTTATTTTTTAAGTGTCGTGGATAAAAATTTTTAGTATAGTTTGACTAATAATACATATTTTTCTAAATGTTTAGAAAGAATAAACGTTACAACGAAGGTAACTGGATTCATGTATCAAGCCATTCTTACGATTAAGAACGTCAGTGAATCAGATAGAAAGAATTATTATTGCAAAATGATAGAAAGATACTACGAATTTGTTGTATATCCTTTGCGCAAAATACCTACAAAATCATACTTTCTTAACATCAATGGTAAGAACGAAATTGGTTATAGAAATAGTTACGATGCAAATTATCTTTTACACTTATACATATAACTCCATTGATGGTAATTTATGTCGTATAGATCCACCTTTTTTTATACTTGTAAATATGAATGCTACAGAGAGAACAGTGATGGCAAGGGATTTTGAGAATCCCCTGACATTATTATGCTATGTTGGAGGGATTCCAACCCCTAACATTACGTGGTCAAAAAACAACGTACCTCTGAAGATGTCATCACAGTATACTTTCGAAGACAACAATCAGAAATTAACTATCAGATACTTTTTTGAAAAAGATGCTGGTAATTATTCATGCCATGCTCAGAACGATTACGGAACAGTGAAACAATCACAAACTATTGTTGTGAAAGGTAGCAAATATCATTGCCAACAGTAATGACGCACTCCTTTAATTCCTTTTTTATTTTTCGAAAACAAACTTTAATGAATAAAATTAGTCTGTACTATACAAAAGTACAGTATATTTTATACTTGATTATATTATCTAAAACTATGTAAGGCATTATTGACTTCTTAAGAATAAAGTACTGAATATTGAACAAAATACAAATCGTTTTAATCAGTTATAAAAAGGAGTTTGATTAACACAATTTTGTGTCATGCCGAGTAGTCTACTATAAACACACTTGACAAGTTTTTTAAATAGTAAAGCTCATGAGGTCATGCTTAGTTCTATAATAGAAAATAAAATGGGTTTAATAAGCCTGCGCCTATAAAAGTATATATAATGCATTTGATGTTTTTTTTCGTTGCTCAAATGTAAAGATATAAAGAGTGCATAGTTTTAAAAAAGGTTGTTTATAATTCCTGTAAAAACATCGATTGTTCAATGCAAAAGTTAGTAACCTCATGCCTTACTTACTCTAAGGGCTTTACATTGTGTATTAGAAAATTTTGTTGCTTTTTGAACTAATTTATAGAGAAGTAAAAAACATTCCCTCAAATAACACGATTTTAACTAGTTTTCTAAATTTATGTCATCAAAGTCGGGTACTTTAGTAATAGTATCTGTCTCCATGTATTTATTTGCATGTGTGTATGCATTTAATTAGTTATATCCTAGTATTTCCATAACAAATTTAAATGCGTTTTTGTTTGTATTTTCATACCTGTCATTGCTGAAAAAAATTCAATTTTATTATTTCTTATTTTATATCTATTTTATCAATTGTAAGATGATTTCTTGGAAAAATAACTACCTTTAGTTTTCATCGATGTTTTAGGACATTGTAACGACAGGAAATCTTAAGTATTATCGAATTTCCGAGCTTTCTGTTAAGAAATATTTTGAAAATTTAGATTAAACTTAGATTATTTTTGTTCGTATGTAGATCTCTTTTTTTAGTTACTTATGTTTGGATGCCAATTACTTGGGTAGAAAATTTTGTGTTATTTTTTTCGCTTTTGTTTTGATCTTGCCATTTTCCAAAAATCAGTTTTTTTGTTTGATGGCATGTTGCGATGGAAACTCTAAGAAATCAAAAAGATCAGTAGCTTGCCATGAAGTTTTATACAAAAAAAATTTCATTCACTTACATTGAAAAAAAATTCGGTTTTCCGGTGTGCGTACGTCAGTTAATGTGAGTACAAAAAATATATTCGTACGTTGGTGTCCTCACGTGAATAAGATCAGAATTTTCTTGCGTAAAATGTTATAAGATAGAAGATGAGAAAAAGGACGTACATTTGAGTGGACTTAATAGTATCTACAGGATTCTATCAACAGGAGTTGTATATCAATTGCAACTCAATTATCGAAATTGGGCTTTTTTACCCTATGACCTTAAAGTATTTAAAATTTCATGCACAAGTAAAATTTACCGTTTGCTACACTAACTTAAATAACTCTTATTAAGACCATGGAAATAATATAAATGTATGAGTTTTTACTACATCATAGCAGTAATTGACTGTGATGTATACTACTATTGACTGTCTAGTGAGCCAAACACGTGCTAACACAAACGAATTTTCTTATTTTAAAGACGATTCTAAGACGATCTAATTGTCGTATATATTGCAGGATGTAATAAAAAAAAAAAAAAAATTATAGTAAACAAGGTCAAGCCATCGACAGAAAATTTCTCAAATAATCAATGCAAATGAAAACTGCTTGATGCGCTGTATCTGAGATATGTCAGGATAGCCTCGTATCAGTTTAGTTTTTTTAGTAGCTTAACGCTATTTTATAATAATACTTGTAGAACTTGTTAATGTATAAATTTTTTTATAGAAGATTCAGGTTATTATTTTCAATATTGTACAAACGATTTAACATCTAATTCTTTATTTTCAAACTATATGTCTTCAGAATTTTAGATCAGACTAAAAAAAAAAATAATTCTTTTAACGTATAAAGCTAGATTCTAATTGTCTTATGATGATTCATCTTCGAAAATTTGAGTATAAACGATTTGATTGCATGGACCGAATTTTATATTGAAAGCAGGAAAAAGTTCTTTGAAAAAGCAAATAATTTTTGTTGTAGGAAATCCAAATACTAATTTTTATACTGGAATAGTAGTATGGTTCATCGCAATCCTTACTTTTCTATCAATTTACTTTTACTTACAAGTACAACATGGAAAGGTAAATAAAAAAATATGATTATTATCAACACACGTACATATAAAATCAAAAAACTTAATCATATAGATAAATTATAATTTAAGTGAATAATCTTTTTCAGTTTAAAGAAAAACTTTTATTAGAATCTAGTCTTACCCAGTTCACGGAAGGGGAACTTAATTTAATGAATCCCGAACTTACAGTAGATGAGCAGGCAGAACTCCTTCCGTACGATATAAGGTGGGAGTTTCCCAGAGAAAAAATAAAATTAGGTAAGAGATTATAAATATATTTTCGAAAAGTATAAGATTAATTTGATTAATATTAACGTTAAATATATTTCTCTTCCATCACATAAAGATAAAAAATTAGGAAGTGGAGCTTTTGGAGTCGTGTATAAGGCCGTAGCTTACGAAATATTTGCTAATAAATCTAAGACAACTGTAGCTGTAAAAACTGTTCGCAAAAATGCAGATCCAATGTATATTACTGCACTAGCCAAGGAACTTAAAATTATGATTTATTTGGGACAACACTTGAATATTACAAGTCTTTTGGGAGCTTGTACAAAAAATATAGCCAAACGTAAGCATTCTCGTAATACTATGAGCAATCACATATAAAAGAAAGTGTATTTATAAGACAAAATTATTTTACATTTCAGGTGAACTATTGGTGATTGTTGAGCTTTGCAAATTTGGAAATCTGCAAAATTATATCTTATATCATCGACAAACTTTTATTAATCAAATTAAATCAGATAAAGGTGAAATCGGCTCTTGCATTAGAAAAACATCAAATAGGTAATAATTTTACTGATTGTACTTTTTTTAATTCTCAAGGAATGATACGTTAAGTAGACCAAGTACAAAGGAAATACTTGTATTTTTCTATCGATACGTTCATTCAAACTTATTTTTTTAATATAAAATACAAGAAGCATTGATTTTTATCATAGTTCTGAAGATAAATTAAAGATGTAATTGATAAAGATTGAAAAATTTTATGAAAATACGTAAGAGTTTTTGTGTTATTACTTAGCNTAAATAAATAAATATAATCACGTGTCAGAGCAAGTTATGGGGGCAAGCCTGAGTTCGATCAGTATCGTTTGCATGTATGGAGAAGAATAGAGTAAAGAACATGAAAAAGTTCTCATCCATAGTGATATCATTATACTTTCTATCTCTAAATTATGAGTCATAAGGCATCGGTATTAATATAAAATTTGGTATACAACGATTTAAATGAATTATATAAATAAATTAAGAAAAATTTCATTAAGAAGTATACTAGTATCAGGTAGCAATAGAGTTGAAATTCAAAAACGTTGTCTCCAGTACGACGAACATTTTGGGTTCAAGAAAACTGTTTTCTATCTTAGGGTTGTTATTCATTTAAATGTTCGACTTGACTCATAATCACAATTCCAGTTGTACTACTTGAAAAAGTTAAAACTGTTGATGATAGCATAGTTTGTAAAACATAATATTAGTAGGATTCTTGGTTTCATGGACATAAATACGTTAATTAATACTCATCTTGAATACTTATTCGAGTATTTTGAGTCCATATACTTATTATGGTCTAAGTTTGAATTAATGTTACCGTTCGTCTATTCAGACTTTTATCGATAAAGCACTTAGTAATTTGGTTACAGAGTTTGTACAGAAAGAATTAAGTGTCTACATCTACAAAAAAAAACACTTCTACTAAATCAAAGATAATCAAAATTTTCTTGTATCCATATAAATCGTAAATCTCATAGACATAACACATAAGTTTAATTATTTGGCCAATAGGACAAAATATAAAATATTTAATGATATCAGAGTGGTTTTAAGCGGCAGTAATTCAAGCAATGAGACCAGCATTTACTGCTCAGAGGATGAGACATTTGTTGGCCCAATGGAATTTAGTGATGATTTTGACGACGATGATTCCCAGCCCGGTTGGCGTTCTAATTACAAAGGGGACTACGCGAATGAAGATGTTCCGTTTCTCTGCACTGAGGATCTTTTTTTATGGGCTTATCAAGTAGCAAATGGTATGGAGTACCTTTCCCAAAGAAAGGCAAGCACCTATCTGTATACAACTATTCATGTTACTTGATTTTAACTTTATATTAACTAACTTTAGGTGATTGCTACTCGTATTATTTTTAGGTGTTACATTGTGACTTAGCCGCGAGAAATATATTATTGGCAGAAAATAACATAATTAAGATATGCGATTTTGGTCTAGCAAAGACATTGTACAAAGACGAAAACTATAAAAAGCAATGCGTTGGCAAGTTGCCATTTTAAGTGGATGGCCATTGAGTCCATTAGGAATGGAGTCTTTTCAACTATGTCAGATGTGTGGTCATTTGGTGTAGTTTTATGGGAACTTTTCACCCTTGCAGAAATACCTTACTTAGGTCTAGGCTTCGAAGAGATGTATCAGAAATTAGTCGGAGGATATAGAATGGCTCAGCCTCCTTATGCCACTGATGACATGTAAATAAATGTTTTAGTGAAAAGTCCATTTCCATAAAACTGTCACTCTACATTGCTTATCTTTTTTTAGTTACAATATTATGCTCGATTGCTAGGAAGAAGAGCCAACATCGAGACCGTCTTTTACAATACTGGTTGAAAGTATTAAAAATTTTTTACAAGACGATATCAAAATACGTTTACTAAAACTCTATCATACGTATGAAAATTGGAAAAGGGAACGACAGTTAGAAAATAACGAAGAAAACCTAACTTCATCATCATCAGACGATATAATGATTCGACCGAGCCAGCATAACTACGTAAACACTTTACCCGAAATCGCAAGTCCATCTTATATAAACGTGTTTGATGGTATTACTGTAACTAATAATAAAAATATTTGACCACTTAATGACTTTAACTTTAAAAGCAAATAGCGAGTATGCTTATCTAGAAAAAATATATGATTATCTTATAAAAATTTTATGTCTTTTAAAGAGTTCCATAGTTATTCAAAATTTTTAAACCAAGTGAGACAGTTTTAATACATGAATTGTTTTATACGTTTTATTTTAGTTTTTGTTGTTATTATTATTTTCTTTTCATTAGCACTGCGTTATAAATTAAGGCGCTTCTTCCTCGAGAGGTACCCCATCTAGCGTTACTTGTATATGCGTTACCATGTCGGTAAATAAGTTAGCAAATGATTTAGAGTACAAAGTTGGCAATCATGTACTTATTTCGCGAATTGAGAGTAAGAGAACGTCTGTGTATGTAATAGTTCGTCAGCTGATTGTACACGACGTTACCTCCGATAATCCTTATTATTTGATGTAAATAAGTAATTAGAAATTGATGATTGGTCCAAAAACCAGTTGCGTGTAAGCGGAGGAAAGTTTGTTCGTTAAAAAAAAATTAGACAAAATCATTCGAGGAAAAAAGGGTAGACGTACCAAAAACATTAAGACAATGGAGACTAAGGAGAAAAAGAATGAGCCCTGCCTCTCAGAGGAAAAAGTTTCATTCAAAGAACGTCGGATCGTAGATATAGACATTCTCGCCAGAAGTTTGTTTTGTTCACATTGTACCAAACGAATTTTTTTGGAAAATATTGTCGAGGAGCAACAGCATGGTGTATCATCCACTTTAAAAATCAAGTGCTCAAAATGTTGTGCTATAACAAATGTCAAATCTGTCAAAGAACACCAAGTCCCAGCAGAGCTGGATCCACCCCGCCAATCGAAGGAAGTTGTGAATTAAAGTGTCACCAACGGGATGATGGTTCTTGGTAATAAAAAAGTCATATTTGTCATTAAATGCTGGTCATAATTTTAATATTTTTAATAATATAGGTAGCATAGAGGCAAAAATTGGTTGCAGAAAGTTAAATCGGCTTTTAGCATAATTAATTATGCCGTCAATCGACCACAAGCTGTACGCAGGATATTTGACTTCTGTTGGAGCTGCAATAACAAAAGTTGCCGAAGAAAGTTGAGCTGAAGCAAGACAAGAAGAACGCTGGTTGGTTATTGAAATATAAAAGACCTTGGTATGGAATTGTGAGTTTCAGGTCGTGTAAAATTTTTATTCATTTTGCTCAATGTTGACAGAATTTTTTAATACCTATTTTAATTTTTTTTTTTTTTAAATTGAGGTAGAGAGAAAAATAGTATTGTTGTAATTAGTATTTTTCGTAAGCTTTATAGTATATTTTTTTTATTTATACACTTACTATGTTGTATACTTTTATTTTATACTTAACTGTTTACTTGTTCTATTTATACACATGCTTTATTGTATATACTTTTATTTGATTTTTTACAATGGCGTTTATAAAATATTTCATATCATGTATTTTGTACACTATACATTGCTACATTTATTATTATGCAAATAAAGATGTACATAACGTAACATGTCTAATAGAGAAAAAAATTCAATATATTGCATGAAATTTTACAGCACCCTACTTTCCTTTTCCTTTTACAGTCCAGAAGAAGAGACATGGGAAATACATCCTGAAATGATGGCTGCCATGGAAGAAGAAAAAAAATATATTACTGGATTCGATGCTCACGTCTTTTGGAAATTTACGCAGCCAATGATTATAAATTTTGCATAACAGCTATGAGCCAATGCAATAAACACTTGTACAGCGTCATAGTGAATCATTTTCCGAAAAATAAAAACTATAGTTGAAGTAAACAGGGTGATATACCTGTCAGTACCGGAATTATGTATTTCAATTTTGAATATGAATCAGTAGTACGAGTGAAAAATATTTTGCAACATGTAACACTGCCTCTTGACCTGAAATAAAACGAGGCGCCGACGCAGCGTTAGCAAGTCTCGATCGCGTTCGTCACCGTTGTCCCTCTTACCTCTTGGGTTTCTGCTCCTGAAAAAGGGGGATAGGCGCGGGAGTTCTCCCGTTCTACGGGAAGAACTATTAATTTACACACAACAAATTAATACCTTTCACACTTTTCTTTATTTAACACACTTAACACTAATACACAGTCTCCCTCTCTTCACAATACACGACACAATGCTTCACCTCGTCTTCTGGACGGCGCTGCAGCGACTTCGCCTCGCACCTCGCGAGCCACGAGCGCTCGTCCACCACGTCCTGCTCGTCCGGGACCGGGAGGGGCTCCTGCTCGTCCTCGACCCACACTACTACGCACACACTCACACTCCGTCCTCAATCTCTCACACTGCTATACACTCTCTCTCTCTCTCTCTACTCTACTATCTACCCTAATACACGACAACACGCACGAAAAATGGCAGCCCTCCCATGCACCTCACGGTCTCTCGTACACCTCGTCTCGTCAACCCAAACTCTTTCTCACTCTCTCTCGCACTGTCTACACTACAATCTCTCTCTCTCTCTCACGCACTATCTACGCTACACACTACTTCTCTCTCTCTCTAGCCTCACCTCCTGGTCAAACGTACGCGAGTACAACCTGGCGTGATGTCGTCCGGTGTCCTCGAGCGGGTCGTTCGTCCTGCGGCTTCACCCTTTCTCTTCTCCTTCTCTCAGCGGCCGTAGTCCTCGACCTGGAGACCTCGTCGTCCTGGGAGAACACAGCAGCTTCTCGTCTCGCACGTACACTTCTCTCTCTTCTCTCAACACTCAACGCACCTTTTCGAAAACTCTCTCTCTCTCTCTCTCTCTCTCAACTCTCGCTACAAAACCCGTCAAGTCACCGAAGCTCTCGCTGCTCGCGCTTAAGCGTGCAGCTCGAGGCTCTACTCCAGACTCACTCACGATCTCTTGCTCGAGCAATGGCCGCCGCCACTGCTGCCGCCGCGTATCTCCTCTCGCAGTCACTCTCATACATAGCAGCTGCTGTGTCTCGGTAGTCGTGTTCGCACTTTCCTTGTCCTTTTCTGCTGGCGCTGCTGTGTCTCTGCATCTCAACTGTTCGTCCGTTGGCATCCTCGTCCCCTCCTCTCAGCGTGTAAACAGCTCCCAAAAAACAAACAGTTCGGAGAAGCGTCAAATTAATGCTCTTTGTATACACGTTGCATCAGCGAGAGCATTTTGGAATAAAGAGGCCATTTTGCCTCGTTACAAACATTCACCTGGAAAAAATAACTGCAAGTTTTCAGATCTAGCAGATAAAAAAAGACTGAGGGAGGGAGAAATAAGATAAATGAAAGAGTACAACTATAAAAGGAGTCTGAACCCCAGTATCACAGGAAGTTGTCGAGTCAGGACTGAAGATGTCGAAGGTCCGAGCTACGAGTCGGATCTTTCAATGACTAATATTTAAAGTAAAAATTTCAAAATTTTTACAACTACAGCAATTGGTGATTGCCTTGTTATATATTACAACTTAGAAACGACGAACTTAGAAATAGATTCTTATGATATAATTCAAATTGCTATCAAAACTGGAGAAGCACAATTTTCTGTATATGTTACACCGACTCAAAATGTCGACACAGAAGCATCACCAGCAATAAAATTAAGTAACAGAGGACCAAAACTTTATTATGATGGCGTTGAAGTGGACACGATTTCGTTACCTAAAGCACTTTCTGGCTTACGTGATTTTTTACATAAATTAGGAAAAAAGTGTATTGTTATTGCGTATGATAATAGTCGTTTTAAACATACGTTACTGATAAGGGTCATTCAAAAGGAAAACCCAAGAGATTATTTTTAAACAATTATACATGGCATTGTTGATTATTATTATTTAAAGAAGCGTTCTCAGAGACAAAAGGTCCAGGTAGTTTAAAGCTTGGCAATTTTGCAAAAGATTTGTTAAAAACAGTGGAAATTTTTACGAAGCAATGTTTAACGTGAGAGTCTTGGAAAGCTTATGTAAGCAATTTATCGATGAATTGGATATGACAAAAAAATTGATCCCCTTTGATCACTTTGCAACTAAAAAATGAGCAGTACTTCATAAGATGAAAAATGCCCGACTTAGATTTAATTTAAAAAATAACTAATACCGCCCCTGCAAAAAAATTATAGCACAAGAAATGTTGTATAATCATTTATGTGAAAAATTCGTTACTTTAGAAAAAAACTTGTTTAAAGAATTTTTAAAAGAAAAAATATGGTCATTTAGTACGTATTACAAATAATGCTTTTTTTGTGCAAAATTTATTTAATCATTTCTCTCCTCAAAAGTTGTGTAATTTTTGTATTTATTATAATATAACTGTGATTAATAATTGTTAGTTTAATAAGCATTTATTCAAACATACAAATATAAACAAAAACCTTGTAATATATAATTAGTTTTATAATAATAATAATTATTCACCTTATCTGATTCGATATTATCAGAAAAAAAATTTTTTCGCATGTATTCTGCATACCTATGTGCGTAATTCAATTTGAACGTGGTGCAGAAGATACATGTTGTTAACTGCGTTTTACCAAATTATTTTGCGACAAAAGTAACCTCTAATTTCCGTTGCTTGCTCAAGTTACTAATAAAAGTAAACTTACAAAGTTTCTATTCAATTGACTAAAACATTTCTGGAATTTACAACTATGTGGGAATAATTTCTAATCAAAGACAAAAAGACAAATAGTTTATTTTCTGAGTAATCTAAAAAACAGAGCAGTGAGCCAACAGCCGTTGCTATAAGACACGGTGCGTTAGACAAAGAGATGCATACGAATTTGTCGAACTTTGAAATTGTTTTACGCAAAAACTTAAAGTACAATTTCGCTCAAATTTTCAGAAATTGGTATTAATACATCATCTAGCAATAAACAAAATTTCAAGCAAAAATATAATAGTTCATTTTTCGGGAGAAGCGCCTCAAACTCTGTATATTCTAATGAATTTTTTTTGATTGCATTTAACAGACTATTTCCAAATTTACTCTCTTACAATCCAAATATACTTTCAGAGGATGATAAATCAGTAACTTTCGTGGTTCTTATTGATGGATGACTAATACCAACTTTGGAACGGTAATATGTTTAGTTATTTCTTTTACTTTGCTATACATAGAAAGTAGTTTTTTTCTAGGATTTTCTGTAAATTTTTTTGTTTTTCTGGATTTTCCCTTGAAGATATAACAATTGTCGTTACTGAACAGGCATAAGAATATTCAGCAGAAAACGATAAGCTGATTGACTATATCAAATAGGGATACAGATGGTATGTGATTGTGACTGTTAAAGTGTGGACATGTGATTAAAAGCGGAAATTAGCTTGATTGCTGTTTAACAAATCATAAGCACACACGTGTGCATAGCAGGTGACAAGACGAAGTCATCTTCTATCTCTGTCAAATGAGTGTAAGGTTTCCCCATTTTACGTTTGACCACTGTAGCGAGGTACAAAGGCTTTACTTCAATTAGCGGTACATCTGCTAGTCGTGTATTTTTCAGGCATTACTTGCATCGATTTACTTTCAAAAATAATTGAGCTAAAGTCTACATTTTTTTTGCCTCAATTATTTACATTATTTGCAACTACTCGAACATACCTACAGTTAATGATGTCGAACACTCGAGGTTGGAAGGATCCGCCAACCTTTTTTCAGTGGTCAAAAATACTGTTTTTTCTTATTGCACTTTCAGGTATGTATACATAAGAACACACACTTTTAATTTATAACTAACGCTCTATTTGTATGAACAGCACAATTTGAAAACATAAATTTAAATTATTGATAGTAACTGCAAAAAGTAGGGTATCTACCAAGTGCCCCATTTAAGATTTTTGGTCTCATTCTAATATTTATTCTTCTCGCACCATAGTTTTAGAGATATAGTAATTTAACTAATTGACGAGGTAGTGCTGAAATACAAAAAAAGAGAGCTTGGACTCTACGGGTGCCACGGTTCTCTCTTTTATTTGGCCTATTCATAAATTCAAAAAAATTAAACTAAAAACAATAATACATATGCTCAACGGTCAAAGTTCCAAAGGTTGTTTCCACTTACAAATGAATAATGAGATCGAAAACCAAAAAATAAGCATTAATGTACACGTAAAGAAGCTTTGGCGAGTGTTGCCAAATCAAGTTGTAGGTGAAGCTATGCGCAGTGAACCTTTTTTCGTTATAGTTTTTGTAAAAACTTAATAGTACATTACGTCACTAGGGCATAAATTACAAACAAATAAGCACTTGAAGGGAGCGGTCGTTGTATGTTTGTGCCCAAGTCGTATATTTTGTTTTCCTTATCGAGGGTCCAAAGTACAATTTTGCGACATCGAGCAGACTTTGGGTCCTAGTCAGAGAAGTGCTTGGGCCTGGAGGGTGCGAAAAATTATTTGCCGTCAGGTCCAAAGTGGTTACAAAGGCGTAAAGTGTGGCCTGAGGGCACAAAGCGGCAGTTGTTCTTTGGACCTATGGTAACAAATAAGGGCCTCTTTTCAACAAAAGCTTAAAGTACATTTTCAAAAACCTTACAGATCTTGTATGTTTTTCTTACAATACTCTTTAAGAACATACGTACAAAATTATATAACTAAGTACATCGTATAAAAAATTTACGCTACCCTCTGAAGATACCTTAAATGTTTGAGCAGTCAGATAACTTTAATTAGTTAGAAAGTGGGTTTTTGAAAATTTTTTATTGGCCCGTATTTAAACAGAGCTAAAATTATAACTAAAGGGATCCGTGGTTAATGAAAAACCTTACTTCTCTATTTACTTTTAAATCCGAATTAAGTTTAATTCAATACAATCTTATTAGTAGCTATCTAGACTTTTTTCAAATTCGTAATGTGAATCGAAAAATCTTTTGTAATGCTGTAATAAAAAAACCTTTCTAAAAGTTAGTAATTTAGAAGATATACTGTTTGATTAAATATTGTAATAAAGTACATTCTTTCGTTCGAAAATTATTATGAAATCATGTCGTAGTTTCTCATATTCAAGCAGTTGTTAAAAAAGAATTGTCATTTGATTTACAGCTTATCTTGATTAGATTAGCTAAGTTTTGGTGTGTACAAAAAATTACAAACAATAAGAGTATTTAAAAAATAATGTAAAAAGATTTGAGAGATTATGAAATTTATAAATTTGTCTCAATAATGTTTATCTTCAATGGTATTTATTTTGGATTATACGTTTATACATTTAATAAATAGTTACAATTTAACTTTTGTATTATTAGGGCCTTAGAAGAGTCAAGAGTTATATTCATATCTTCTTTTTTTATTTCTAATTTTAAGACAATATGCAGATATTGTTTTTGAGACAACAATAAAATAATACTCTTAAGAATATTGAACTAACAATATTTTATTGTTTTCCTAACGTTTGTGCTTAAAACATATTCTGTAAAATATCATTTTACTAGCTAATTGAACAAATACTGTTATATAATAATTTTGTAGTGATCAATTACCTGTAAATTTCTATAAAATGGTAATGTTCATTGAGAAGAACACAATTTTCTGACATAATCTAAATGTGACCAGTATCAATGTCGTCTTTTAAAATACTTTAAGCTATGAACCTACAGAACACAAAGCTTTAACAGTAGTGATTAAAAAAAATGTTCTTGTGTCATAGATTGAGCTGCTTGAGATGATAAATGACCTAAATTTTACTGACAAAGCTAGTGTGCTTATCTTACTACGAATCATTCATAATACAATAGGATGTACTCGACGATTTTTCCACAAATCTGTCGCTACTAACAAATTAAACTTTTTTTGAATTTGAAATATGTTGTAAGTACATTATATTTTTTTTTGTCATCACAAATTTTTTAAAGTTAACGTATTGATACTAGTTTTTAAGATAATTTAGTTTAAAATACATTATTTACCATGGGTTGTAGTCAGATACAACACAAAAGAAGATACAGCACAAAAGAAGACTCAGTTTATTGATTAATATTTTTCCATTACAAAAGCATACTGTCATCAACTATAATACTGTCATTATACGGTAAATGACACACTTCTTTTACTTAATTAACTTGGTACACGGATTTTCTACGTTACTATCTTTAACGTATATTGAATCAAAATTTAGAAGTTAATCATAGTCTTAATTTTTTTTTTTTAAATATTCGTAATTATTTGAGCTGTGCAAGACATCTTTAAAACAAATCTTTTAACTTTTTAGTTCTTGGTTTTTTATTTTTTTTTTTATCTTTGACCGATATTTGTAAAAATGAGTAGTATATTTTGGTTCGTGTTATTTCTCATCATTGAATTATTTTAATGTTTTATAGTTATATTTTTTTAAACTGGATATGTTTTTTTCAAGTTGTTTATCTCTTCTGGCTGAAAACTATTAATACTAATTACCATTATTTTCTATCGTCAAAATAATGTATGTAGTTTATTTTCTATCGTCAAAATAATGTACGTATAACTTGATTTTTTTCCTTTGAACTATGAGACAAAATATAGACAACATAAAACAGAACAAGATAATTTTGACTTAAGACTATGACAAAATTTATTTAAAAAATTTTTTTGAAACACACTAAACTATTATCTTTATCATTGGTTTGTTGTGCTGTTGTGGAGCCTAATCTACTAATTGTGCAGATTATTTTAAAACTTACGTATAAATAAATTCTTCATAGTGCCATGTAATAAAACTTATTTGAAAACTAGGTACTGGCCTAATGCACTCCTGAATTAAATATTTTAGTGGAGGCTTCTACTTCACTTGAAAATTATTATAAAATTGTTATATAGTTGATTACTCCTAAGTATTCATCAACATAAAAATATTATAAAGTTTACTGATTGTCTTGATTATGTTAACTGACTAACAAAGTCTGCCGATTATTAGTTTTTTTTTATTAGACGGTATTTAGAAAATCACATGACGAAATTTGGGAGATCAAAAATTTCGTTACGTAGTGCCAATAGTATATATCTTGTTCATAACTGTTATGAATAAAATAGTTTTTATACCAATGAGAGAGTGCGAACATTAATTTTAGACGTGTATGGTATACATGTATTTCTGTAGAGTTTTTCCACTTTTTTTTTTAACAAGCACCCTTATCAGTAAAATTAAAAATCCTAAATTGAAGACTTATATACTTATATTTTTTGTTCTTAAGATTAGTCAAATGATGCACTTTGTTCTATTAATAAATCTATTTCACAATAAATACTTATACTATTTGAAGTTAGAAATGTGTATCATTCATGAGCAATATTATTCTTAATAATCGAAGAAAGCATGTACACATTACTTGTACTCAAACAAAACATTTCTTATAATAAGATTAGAAAAAAACTGTTATAGAGTATTTCTTATTTTATATTTCATCATTAATTCTTTAATATATTTCATCAGTTATTATACTAAAGAAAAGGATTTTGTTACAATAGTACTTAGTTTACTAACACACTTAAAGGTGTAGATTACATTTAACTTGTTACATTGAACTTATTAGGAGGTTGAGAATTTATTCTTAAACTTTGAATAGCCGATGAATAAGGAGTAACTCTAACTGTTCTACTAAAAAATAAAACTCTTTGGTAAGGCAGTACCGCTAAAAACTTAGTTTGCATGAGAATAATTAATTTTACTATTTTAGGAGGCTCAGTGCTACAAACATACCTATTAGCCTCCTTCTCCCTTAATTTAGGACTGTTTGTCTATTATAATTTTCATGTTTTACTAAATAGTATGTAAGTTTTCTCATAGAGGCAAATCGAGACAAGATTTCTTACTTTTTAATCATGGATATAAATTCAAAATTTTTAGGCTGCCATGGACTTAAGCCTCAACTGTATCCAAATGTGACTGAGTTAGAAATAAATGAAGGCAAGAACACAATTTTCTGACATAATCTAAATGTGACCAGTATCAATGTCGTCTTTTAAAATACTTTAAGCTATGAACCTACAGAACACAAAGCTTTAACAGTAGTGATTAAAAAAAATGTTCTTGTGTCATAGATTGAGCTGCTTGAGATGATAAATGACCTAAATTTTACTGACAAAGCTAGTGTGCTTATCTTACTACGAATCATTCATAATACAATAGGATGTACTCGACGATTTTTCCACAAATCTGTCGCTACTAACAAATTAAACTTTTTTTGAATTTGAAATATGTTGTAAGTACATTATATTTTTTTTTGTCATCACAAATTTTTTAAAGTTAACGTATTGATACTAGTTTTTAAGATAATTTAGTTTAAAATACATTATTTACCATGGGTTGTAGTCAGATACAACACAAAAGAAGATACAGCACAAAAGAAGACTCAGTTTATTGATTAATATTTTTCCATTACAAAAGCATACTGTCATCAACTATAATACTGTCATTATACGGTAAATGACACACTTCTTTTACTTAATTAACTTGGTACACGGATTTTCTACGTTACTATCTTTAACGTATATTGAATCAAAATTTAGAAGTTAATCATAGTCTTAATTTTTTTTTTTTAAATATTCGTAATTATTTGAGCTGTGCAAGACATCTTTAAAACAAATCTTTTAACTTTTTAGTTCTTGGTTTTTTATTTTTTTTTTTATCTTTGACCGATATTTGTAAAAATGAGTAGTATATTTTGGTTCGTGTTATTTCTCATCATTGAATTATTTTAATGTTTTATAGTTATATTTTTTTAAACTGGATATGTTTTTTTCAAGTTGTTTATCTCTTCTGGCTGAAAACTATTAATACTAATTACCATTATTTTCTATCGTCAAAATAATGTATGTAGTTTATTTTCTATCGTCAAAATAATGTACGTATAACTTGATTTTTTTCCTTTGAACTATGAGACAAAATATAGACAACATAAAACAGAACAAGATAATTTTGACTTAAGACTATGACAAAATTTATTTAAAAAATTTTTTTGAAATACACTAAACTATTATCTTTTTTATTTGGTTAATGTGCTGTGGTGTAGCCTAATCTACTTATTGTGCAGAATGTTTTAAAACTTACGTATGAAAAAAATCATTATAGTGCCATGTAATAAAACTTATTTAAAAACTAGTAACTGGCCTGATGTACTCCTGAGTTAAATATTTCAGTTGAGGATTTTACTTCGTTTAAAAATTATTATAAAATTGTGATGTAGTTGATCACTCCTAAGTTTTCATAAACATACAAAAATTTTAAAGTTTACTGATTAACTTAATTATGTTAACTGACTAACAGCGTCTGCCAATTAAAAGTTTTTTTTCCATTAGACTGTATTTAGAAAATCACATGACGAAATTTGGATGATCAAAATTTTTGTTACGTTTTGCCAATAGTATATATCTTGTTAATAACTGTTATTAACAAAAAGTTTTTGTGCCAATGAGAGAGTGAGAACATTAATTTTAGAGATTTATGAAATACATGTATTGCTGTATAGTTTTTTAACATTTTGCTTTCAACAAGTACCCTTATAAGTAAGATTAAGAACGCTTAATTTAAGATTTAATCTCAGATACCTTAACTATTGTATATTTTTTGTTCTTAAGATTAGTCCAATGATGCACTTTATTCTATTAATAACTCTATTTCACAATTAAAATTTCCATTTAAAGTTAGAAATGTGTTTCATTTATGAGCAATATTATTTTAAATAATCGAAGAAAGCATGTACACATTACTTGTACTCAAACGAAATATTTCTTATAATAAGATTAGGAAAAAACTGTTATGGAGTATTCCTTATTTCATATTTTATCATTAATTCTCTAATATATTTCAACAGTTATTATACTAAATAATAAGATTTTGTTAGAATAGTACTTAGTTTACTACCACACTTAACAGTGTAGATGACATTGAACTTCTTACATTGAAGTTATCAAAAGGTTGAGAATTTATTCCCATACTTTCAATAGCCGATGAATAAGAAGTTACTCCTACTGTTCTGTTGAAACATGATACTCTCTGGAACGGCAGTACCGCTAGAAGCTTAGTTTGCATGAGAATAATTAATTTTACTATTTTAGGAGGCTCAGTGCTACAAACATACCTATTAGCCTCCTTCTCCCTTAATTAAGGACTGTTTGTTTTTTTCTCGCAACAAGTGTGAGAAAAACACCTATTTTCCGGACACTTATTGCGAAAAAACTTGTACGCAACTCATGCGGGACGATTATCCACTATCATGTGATAAACTCGCACTCGTTCCCGTCAACTCCGGCAAATCGTGCGAGTCAATCACGACTCATGCGGAAAATTGTCTTTTCCGTACTTGTTACGTAAATAACTATTAGAATTTCCGTGTTTTACTAAATAGTATGTAAGTTTTCTCATAGAGCCAAATCGAGACAAGATTTCTTACTTTTTTAACATGGATATAAATTCAAAATTTTTAGGCTGCCATGGACTTAAGCCTCAACTGTATCCAAATGTGACTGAGTTAGAAATTAATGAAGGAGAACCCCTAAACATTACGTGCACAAGCAATAGCTATGTTAATTTTTATTTCCCTACCAGTGACAAAAGGGGAAGGGTAAGTTAAATGACTCTACCATTTCATATTTGATGGGTTTTAGAAAAAAAATACTTCAACAAATAATAACCACTAATTTTTGCATTTAAAAAAAAAGACCACCTCTAAGCCTCTTATAACACCAGAAGTCAGGAGTACCCACAAGATATTCATAAGATTATCCACCGTTTTTGGAGATACTGGCTGGTACGGATGTGCTGATGAAAGCAAACAAATAACAAGTTTGACGTACAAAAACTACAGCGACCTAAGTATCAGTTGGTTGTACGTTTATGTTAAATGTAAGAGTATTGCGAATTATGGATTTATCTTTTTGTAAACTGAATTTTATTCAAAAACTTAAATAATACTAAATATAACGCTTACTGAAAAATTGTTTATTTCTATGTTTAGCCAATAGAAGTTCATTCGTACGTATAAATAAGGATGATAAATATTATTTACTGGCTTCGGGATGTTCTCAACACCTTATCTTACCATGTCAAACGACATCCCCTGAATTTAAAGTGACTCTTCAAAGAAATGAACATGTAAAACATACTTCATGCACTATAAAAACTCATATAGAAAATGACGCCAACTTTCCAATATTTTTAATTTTTCTAGGTTCTCAGACTGAGTGAAAAGATCACTTTCGACTCCAAAACTGGTTTTGTCATTAAAGAACCTAATTGGGATACGGAAAGTGTATATACTTGTACTGTTGAAAATAAACAATTTTCACATGCAATAAAAATAAAAGCTCAGATTACAACCTTCTTTCCATGTATGAGTATTTTTAGAATAGACGGTGAAAAAGCTGTATCAACAGGTTCGAGATTGAATCTTTCATGCACAGCTGAAATAAGAAGAGAATCCTTTTACACTATCTCCTGGGAGATTTCACATAACGTGGTAAATTGAGCACAGCTAGAATTTAATATGCAGTTTTTGTTTTATGTCTTAAAATATAAATAGTTAGATATTTTTAATGTGATGTTCAGTTAATAAAAAACGTGTGATTAAAGACTTCTAGAAAAGTTTCAAATATCGTTCGAGTAGAAGAAAAAGGAATTCATAAATTAGTCAATCTCGTAACGTCTGAGCTTATTATTGAAAATGTTGCTCACGATGATAAAGGTTACTACACTTGTAAAATAAGATCTTCGTTTAATGAAGAAAAGAGTCTTAATACTCATGTTTGCGTGTTTGGTAAGTGATTGAATTTTTTTTTAATTTATTGTTTTTGTTATCATTATTATTATTATTTTTCCATCACAGTACAACGTAAAAAATAAAACTCTGTAAATATACATTTGTAGATACTAACAAACCATACATCAATCTAACTTCTGACAATCTTTATGTAGTCTCAGAGAATGGTAAATCAGTGACTTTCTTGGCTCTTGTTGATGCATGTCCAATACCAACTTNTCAGAGGATGGTAAATCAGTGACTTTTTTGGCTTTTGTTGATGCATGTCCAATACCAACTTTGGAGTGGTAATATGTTTAATCCTTAGTAGTGCTTTAGTGTACATAAATTTATTTATTTCTTTTTAGTACTATTAAACATTATTTTCCATTTCAGGACTCACCCTCAAGGTTATATAATTCGCCCCTACGATTCGGACGTAAGAATGTCCGATTACGGAACGATGAGCCAATTGACTCTATTAAACATCGATAAATATGCCACGGGAACTTTTACGCTTAGAGCTAAACATGATAAAATAGTAAAGGAGTTGAAATTTTATCTTGAAGTTTATGGTACATAAAAAATGTTAGATACTTTCGTAACATACATATTTTGAACGGAACGAGACAGAATATTAAAAAATATCAGGGAGTGAATTATTTTTTACAAATTAATCATACAGTTTTGTTTTGAGTGTTTTTAGTTCAATGTTATCAAAACTGGAAGTAGTCTGTAGGCAGTGGTAAAATTGTTATTTGAACTTTACACTTGCTGCTCCTGAGCATTAATGATCTCGTACTAGTTTTAAGTTGCAAGTGTTAAATTTCTATTTTATGTGTGCTCCGATTACAAGGAAAAAAACATCGCCTTCTATTAAGACCTGTCACTAGGTTATGTTCTTCACCTATACATGATGATATTTAATTACTGACATAAGTAACAAGAAAACATTTCTTACGTACTTTTACAATTTTTAAAAAAATAGGCACTTTCTAATTATAGTTTAGTAGGCTTTGGAAAAAGTTATTATGACGCAGATAAATGTGCATCGTAGACTGTATCAGTCACAAATGTTGCTTCTACTTTTACACTCAATATAAAGATGCATGAATTTACAAATATATTTTTAATACATGCAACTACAACACTGTGTTAAAAATTGTGTATCAAACTTATGTGTATACTTTTGTGTCACTGAAAGTTGCAACTGTCTACACTTATAATTCATTAATGTTCCAAATTAGAAGTTAATTTAAGTTCAGATCAGCTTTTTTTGCATCAGTTGAAGAAAGAGACAAATAAGACCTAGCAAGCCCATTTGTCTACAACTGAGTAGCCCATTCGTCAAAAAATAATCGATAAGACATACAGAAAAATAATGGACTGCAAATTTATAATTATTGAATAAATGAAATAATAATAATTTTTAGTATGGCATCGATATTTTACATTAAATGAATGTTAGTCAATGTATACTTCCTTGGGCTCAAAATGAGTACTTTCGATCTACCAATTTAAATAAAATAGTTCTATTTTTGTGAACATTATGAATACGAAACTCTTTAAAAATGGAAAAATGACATTTAAGGTTTCCATCTCTTTCCTGTTAATGACTGATTCTATTTAAAAATCGCAAAGCTTATACATAAATTAAGTTTTTGTTCAGTAAAGTAAGAAACTCAAAATTTGTTGGTAGACTAGTGACTGAAACTTTACGAATTCACAATTTTTGTTTGTTTTTTTTGTATTATCATGAAATTCTAAATGTGTACGTCGTTTTTTTGTTCTGGAACTTCATGTCAAGCATTTGATTTTTTTTTCTTGCAGGTAAGCCAACGGTCAAATTTGACAAAACTTACCTTCAATCTTACTACAGTTTTAATAAAACTGCCAAGTTTGTTTGCCTTGCCAATCGTTATCCTAAGTCAAATATATCTTGGATCGTAACGAAAATGTCGATTCACAATGAACTACATAACTTACAGGTTGGTTGGTTACTATGAATAATAACTTGCTGACCTGCATTCGTACGTTTAGATTGTTATATGAATGTAGCTATAAAAAAAACATTTTCTGAACGTTAAATAATTTTTCCAGGGAATAGAAACAGATGGGAAAAATAGCAACTTCAAACAAAAGTCAACGGTAGAACTGAAACAGCTAGTAACATCTGGTGTAATAAAATGCAAGGCTTGCAATAGCTATGGATGTGCAACTGCGTCAAAGGAAATTCGTTTAACAGGTACATAGATCTAAATAATATCCATTGTTCAACTTGAATTTTTATCTATCTTTTACTTTTTTTCGTGAGTTGCTATTGTATAGATAATTTTTTTTTCTTCAGATGGGGTAGCTAATGCATCTTTTGGAATCATACAACCAAATAGAAGTTTTCAGAAAGGTGACAATATTTCTTTAACATGTGCTGCTGTAATTCAGAAATTCTCCGAGGTCCTGTGGTATGACGATAATGAACACGTGGTCATAAGTTCCGGTTAGTTCTAAATTTGTTTTTTAAGTGTAATGAGTCAAGTTTTTCAGTATAGTTTGACCAATTATACATGTTTTCTAATACACATAGAAAGAATACACGTTATATCGAAGGTAACCGAATTCACTTACCAAGCCATTCTCACGATCAATAACGTGAGTGAATCAGATAGAAGGAAGTACTATTGCAAAGGGACGATAAGATACTACGGATTTGTTGGTTATCCTTCGCCCAAAATACTTACAGAATCATTCTTCCTTAACATCAATAGTAAGAATGAGAAACAGTTATGATGTACGTTATCATTTATAAATCTCAACTATTTTTACTCCATTAATGGTAATTTTGTTGTATAGATCCACCTTCTTTCATACTTGTAAATTTGAACGCAACAGAGAGAACAGTGATGGCAAGGGATTTTGAGAATCCCCTGACTTTATTATGCCATGTTGAAGGGATTCCCACCCCTAATATTACGTGGTTGAAAAACAATGTACCTCTGAAGAGTTCATCACAGTATACTTTCGAAGACAGCAATCAAAAATTAATTATAAGATATTTTTTTGAAAAAGATGCTGGTAATTATTCATGCCATGCTAAGAACGATTACGGAACAGTGGAACAATCACAAATTATTACTGTGAAAGGTAGCAAATTTCATTGCCAATAGTAATTATTCGTCCCTTTACTCCCTTTTTTAATTTTCGAAAACAAATTTGAACGAGTAAAATTAGTCTGTACTTTACAAAAGTACAGTACATTTTACGTTTGATTATACTATCTAAAACTATGTAAGGAATTATTGAGTTCGTAAGAATAAAATACTGAATATTGAACAAAATATAAAACGTTTTAATTAGTAGCAGAAAAGAGTTTGATTAACAAAATTTTGTCTTATGCCGAGCAGTCAACTATAAATACACTCGACAATTTTTTGTAATAGTAAAGCTTATGAAATCATGCTTTCTCTATAATAGAAAACAAGATGGGTGTAATAAGGCTGCACCTATAGAAACATATATAATGCATTTTGTGTTCTTTTTCGTTGCACACACGTAAAGAGATTAAGAGTTTATGGTTAAGAAAAAAAGTTGTTTATAATTCCTGCAAAAGCATTGATTATTCAATGCAAAAATTTTTTAACTCATGCCTTACTTACTGTAGGAGCTTCACATTATGTATCCAAATATCCTATTGCTTTTCGTACCAGAAACTTTACAAAAAAGAGACAAAGATCTCCTCAAGGAACACGATTTGAACTTGTTTTTTAAATTTATAGAATCAAATTCCTGTAACAGTATCTATTTGTATGTGCGTGCATGTATTTGTTTGCATGTGTGTATGCGTTTAATTAGTTAGATCCTAGGATTTCCGTATCCAACTTCAATAATGCGATTTTGTTTGTTTTTGCTGGAAAAAATTCAATATTACTATTTTTTACTATATACATATGAGATGATCACATCTATTGTCACTTCTTTCGTAATTTGAGTATCCATTTTTGTAAATATAGTATCATTAGTCAACTTTTTTCGAAACTTTTTTGTACAAATTTTTTTAATGACTGGTAAGACATGGACTATCTATACCATAAGGTTCATGAAGCATGTGTTCAATAACTAATTTTTGTGTTTGTGAATCAAGTGGAATTTCCGCTGCAATATATTTATCGATGTCTATCGTAGTAAATAATTAATTTTTTATGTGCAATGTTACAATAATATGAGAATGAGGTAATTCTCTTTTTTGAAATTCAATGGTATAAACATAAGCAATAAGTTTTCCGAAAATATTTTATTTAGTTATATCGTCTCAAATTGATTTTGATTTTGTATAAAACAATCTAACAGTTACATTTGGTATATCATTTGGAGTGATTCCTTCAGGAAAGTTTTTCAAAATTATTTTTATTTCTAACCATTTAGGGTTACATGCANTAGATCACTCTTATTAATTACACTTATTTGAATACCAACTACTTAGAATTAAAATTTTGTGTTATTTCTTTTCGGCCTTATTTTGATCTTGACGTTTTCCAAAAACCGATTTCTTTGTTTGATGGTTTTTTGCAATAAAACAGTAATTAATGGAGATCAAAAAGCTTGCCATAAAGTCTTAAACAAAAAAGAATTTATTCACTAACATTTAAAAAAAATTCGGTTTTCCGGTGTTTGATGTATGTGTTTATGTGTGTAAGTGAATAATTCCACGGGAATAAGATCAGAATTTTCTGCGTAAAATGTTATAAAATAGGAAATGAGAAAAACGGATGTACATTTAAGTGCACGTAAATAGTATCTATAGGATTCAATCAACAAGAGTAGTATATTTATAGCAACTCAATTATCGAAATTGGGCTTTTTACCCTATAACCTTAAAGTATTTTAAATTTCATGCATAAGTAAAATTTCCCGTCCGCTACACTTACTTTATTAACTCTTATGAAGATCATGGAAATTATATAAATGTATGAGTTCTTAATCCATCATATCAGTAATTTTCTATGGCGTATACTATATGTCATGTACATACTATTGACTGTCTTGTGAGCCGAAGACGTGCTAACACAAACGAATTTTTTTTTTTTTTAAGACGATTTTATTGTTTTGTTTATTGCAGGATGTGATATAAAAAAAAATTATGGTAAAAAAGGTTGAGCCATTGGCAGAATATTTCTTAAATAATCAATGCAAACGAAAACTGCTCGATGCACTTTATTTGAGATATGTCAGGATAGCCTCGTGTCAGTTTAGTTTCTTTTGTAACTTAAGGCTATTTTATAATAGTACTTGTATAACTTGTTAATGTATAAATTTTTTCAGAAGATACAAGTTATTATTTTAAACATTGTGATAAAAGATTAAACTTCTAATTCTTTGTTTATCAAACTATATCACTTCAGAATTTTGGATCAGACTGAAAAGAAAAAATTTTTTTTAACGTATAAAGCTGGATTCTGATTGTGTTTTGATGATTTATCTTTGAAAATTTGAGTACGAACGATTTGATTGCAGGGACCGAATTTAATGTTGAAAGCAGGAAAAAGTTCTTTAATAAAAGCAATTATTTTTGTTGTAGGAAATCCAAATACTAATTTTTATACTGTAATAGTAGTGTGGTTCATCGCAATCCTTACTTTTCTATCAATTTACTTCTACTTACAAGTACAGCATGGAAAGGTAAATACAAAAATTTGATTATTATCAACACACGAACATATCAAATCAAAAAAATTAATTAAATAGATAAATTACATTTCAAGTAAATAATCTTTTCCAGTTTAGAGAAAAACTCTTATTAGAATCTAGTCTTACCCAGTTTACGGAAGGGAAACTTGATTTAATGAATCCAGAACTTACAGTAGATGAGCAGGCAGAACTCCTTCCGTACGATATAAGGTGGGAGTTCCCCAGAGAAAAAATAAAATTAGGTAAGAGATTATAAATATATTTTCAAAAAGTATAAGATTAATTTGATTAATATTAACGTTAAATATATTTCTCTTCCATCACATAAAGATAAAAAATTAGGAAGTGGAGCTTTTGGAGTCGTGTATAAGGCCGTAGCTTACGAAATGTTTGGTAAAAACTCTAAGACAACTGTAGTTGTAAAAACAGTTCGCAAAAATGCAGATCCAATGTATATTACTGCATTGGCGAAGGAACTTAAAATTATGATTTATTTGGGACAACACTTGAATATTGCAAGTCTTTTGGGAGCTTGTACAAAAAATATAGCCAAACGTAAGC